TATAATTTGTTAAGTAACCTTCTCCCAAAACTTACCACTCTGGTCTTCCTAAAGTGAACTCTAAACTAGGTTTTCTTCGTTCCTCTCGAGGCCCCGGTGAACAGTTCACAGCTGAATTTTCACTATCCTGTATAATTGGAAACTATATATATCAATTTTGTTATTTGACGGGGTATAAAAGAATTAGGGTAATCTTTAGTTGTGTATATGGGTAAAAGTTTGTGTTAGTAATTACCTCAAGATGAGATGAGAAGGCTGTTGGCTCGATCACACCATCTATGTTGTCACTCGAATTTGCTTGTAACCAATTTCCTCTGCTGAAATATTCAATATGACGGGTTTGTCAAGCAAATTCCCAATGAATATAAACTAAATGAAAATTAAATTGATTTTCCCTTAAATTAGTTGGGCATTTGAAAGGCAATCAGCAAATGGTAGTAACTGGTTAATATAGAAACTTATGGGTTGATGCGCAACATAATTTATGCATTATGTATGTGTATTATGCTATATGGATTTTGTTGTGCACGGCGGCCAAATTGTTGTGCTTTGAGGAACCAAATCAAAACGTTAAGATAGAAGGCTAAACAATCCAAGATAACGGCACAAACACAAACAACCAATTTTTACGTAGTTCGGTAAGTTGCCTACGTCCACGGGGCAAGAAGGGGGTGTTTTTACTAATAGAGAAGAATAGTACAAACTGAGATTATAAATCACTCAAAACAACCAACTAATCTCACAAACAAATCTCTAATTCTCTCCAAAATAAAACCCTAACCAATAACTCAAAAAATACATTTTTTCTGTGCTCCAAATATCCCCAATCAATGTTTAATCAAAACCCAATCAAAGCCAAAGAAACCCTAAAAACATGTCTCTATTTATAACAAAACACAATTCTAAACAGATTGGGATTCTATAAAACGAGTCTGACACACTCGGAGGTGGCAGACACCACACCCTTGAAAACAGGACAGATTCTGCCACACCTGGGTGTGGCAGACACCACACCCATGTCAACAGGGACAGATTCTGCCACCTGGGTGTGGCAGACACCACACCAATGTGTGGTGTAGTCTATCTTGCTTATTTTTCACGTTTTTCTCAAATTCCTTCGCCGTTTTCACAGATTTTTCTTTGGCAGTGCATCTGTTACAATTTCCTTTTTTAGGTCAGACCTATAACTATGTATTATGCATTTAACTTATTCACGACATTAATTTGCATGAAAAATGGGACATCTTTAAATGGAAGATGATTTATTCAAGGTATTAAAACCAAGATCGAGGCCTCAATATGTGTAAATTGTGAAGAAGTCCAGGTAGATGGTAAAACCAAATTATATGCACATAGGCAGCAAAATAGCCATTTAAAAGTGATGAACTGGAAATGATTTCAACTCTTGATGGGCTTATCTAGTATGTATATAACACTATTTGTGCATATAGGCCTAGCTACAAACAAATAGCTTTAAATGAGATTGTCTTGTAGTTGTAGGTATCACATATATATCCAATGAAATGGTGTTCGCTATCTAATCAAATCTAAATAATGTGCTTGAGAAAGAAATGTATAAGAAGGAAATATGATAAACGTCACTAATTTTAGCTAATAATTAGTTTGAGACCCATCTCAGATAAGGATAATTTTAGGAAATGATAGATGAAAATAACCTTTGAGTAATTAACGAGAACATTGAGACATATTCTAATCACATATCAGAATTATGAAATCTGTTAATTAGGTAAACCACACTTTATTGGGAGGTTGTACCTTCAGATCTTTTAACCTGCAGTGGCAAGGGTAAAGCTTGAATTAAAATGCATAGATGCAAATTACAGGTTAATTATGCAAAACTTTCATATATATGTTTTCTCCATGGATCTTTCATTCCCCAAAATGCTCCCACACTCCTTCACACCTAGGTAGCTTTCATCGTAATGCAAAGCATATTTATCTCCGAACAATATATTCTAAAAGTGAGAAAACTCCTTATAATATAGGAGAATGAGAACCGCTACATGTTTTAATCTCCATTTTGATCTTAGATTTTTCTAGTTAGTTTCCTGGTGATGAATTTCAAAGTGTGCCATTAGAAATGCGCGCTATTATATCCTCAAGAATATATAATTCTTAATTTGAAGATGATTTTAGTTTACTTTTACAATAAACTACATAATTTTCCATGGTCTATATATGTAAAGGGAAAAAATGAATAGCCAGCTTATTCATAATTTCAGATTGTTGGAGATTTAACTTTCTTTGCCCTTAACATCATTAAACAATTAAGCTAATGTTCTGATTTCCTCTAGGGACAGAAAATCCACCTGATTGCGTGGAATACTGTATGTCAAAGCAAGTAAGCTGGAGGATTGGGAATTTTTTAGCCAGGAACTGGAATTATGCTGCTGCTATCAAGTTGTTGTGGTCGATTCATCTTAAAAAATATTTACTTTGGATAAAATAGATCCATGCAAATTACTTACAAACTTCAGATGTATGGCAAGTTCAGGCTAAAAGAGATAATTCTTGGATGTGGAAGCAACTCATCAAAGTGAGAGACTTGACGCTGACCATATTTGGAAATATTGATAACATGCAGAACACTGTTCGTGCATGCTGCACAGATGGTAAAGTCCAGTTATCATCTAGATACAATATCCTATCACTGTCAACCTCTTCAAAACAATGGTCTATGACAGTTTGGAAAGGGTTTCATTACTTCTTTGGCTAGTGTGTCATTCCAGAATTCTTACCCAGGATCGGCTATGTCATATGGGGATCTTGAATTCAAATGAATGTGTCTTATGCCCCAATCACCAACAGGAGACATGTAAGCACCTTTTCTTTGATTGCCAGTTCTCAGCAAGAGTCTGGAATGGTTTGATGAACTGGTTGAAATTTTCATGGTAATCGTGCGACTGGAACCAAGTAATAACCTGGTACTCACTCGATCTTAAAGGAAGAGGCTTTAAAAGAAATTTGAAGAGACTAGCTCTCTCAGTTGCAGTGTATGCTATTTGGCAGGAGAGAAATCAGAGGATTTTTCAACAAAAATTCAAAGAACCAGAGGCAATCTTTAGAGCTGTCAAGTTGGCAATTTACACCAAAATTTTAAATTCAAATTTACCTGTACATATGAAAGAAACACTTGAGAGGATGTAATCAATTTACACCAAAATTTTAAATTCAAATTTACCTGTACATATGAAAGAAACACTTGAGAGGATGTAATTGTTTTACAATGTGATCACCAAAAGAGATGGTGTTTTGATGTACTTCATAGTTCACATATTGGGAAATGAATACAATTTTTCATTGACCACAAAAACAATTAAGCTAATGTGTCGGATAAGAAGTATATAGGAAAGCCTACAGTAATGCAAATAGTTATTCTTCCAGTCAATATAAAGCAAGAGGTGTGAAGAATAAATGGAGAAAAAGGGAAAGACGAATGCCCAAGTCGATCCCATGTATATATCTAGTCAAAATGCAATCCTGGTTTCAGACCCAAGCACTGCTGTGTAAGAGAAAAAGAATAAAGGGTCCGGTAGAATATTGTGTTCTAGTGAAACAAATACTTTAAAAAAATTGGTAAAAATCACCTAAGAAGTTGGCGTGTACCCAATGTAGAAGTACAATAAAGAGAAAGAGATAAAGAGCCCTAAACTGTTTAATCAGAAGAACAAGAAAACAAGGAGGAAAGTGATGATCAAGAACTAGAAGAGGCCAGAGAGAAGAAAACATAAAAAAAAAAAAAACTTCCAAGGTCAAGATACATTCCTGAAATCAGAGCCATGTTCGCATTGGAAAGAAAGAAAAGGACAACGCTAGCTACAGATCAGTCAGTTGTACTAGAAACAAATCAATATAATAATACAAAACAAATAAATTAAGTTAAGATATTATGTATGTTAACAAAGTATATTAGCGCAAACAGCAGCTTGCGTGTGTGCTTTTAACAGGTGAATGCCTAGTTTAGTCTTCTGCCCCTTTATAGCATCTTTTATCTTTCAAAGTTCTAAAGTTGTGCGTGCTACCTCTCGATCCCCATGAAATCTCAATCAAAGAACGCCAAGTGATAAAAAAAAAAAAAAGCAAAGGCTGCAACGAGAACCCTTTCAGATGTTTTGCGATTCGCGAACGTAGAGAACCATGCAGAGCACAAAATTAATAAAGCACAAAATGATCGTAGAAAGCGGCATGGTTTACCTTGATGAATTGCTCCATCTAGTTGTATCGGGAGTTTTGGTGGGGCCCTCGGGGGATCGGTTATCGATGAGCCGCTGGATGCTGGGATCCTCTTCTCCGGAGCCGTCCGATTGGCCTTGATAAATTTTTAGAGAAACAAAAGAAAGATGGATGATATGATAAAACCCTAATAGGGCTAGCTCACTTAGGCTGGAAATATTGTTTTTTAAGCAAAGAAGCGAATAGGGAGGGCGTACCTGAAGAAGCTGCTGGCCTGTGATCGGTGGTCTTCACAGTTCTGTACATCTGCATTGACAAAGGGAAAAGACAGGTATATAGAGGATTAGAAAGTTAATTAATCTAGGAAAGAAATTAAGAATTTACTAATGTGAACTGATCAGATGTTTCTTTGTTCTTTGTTCCCCCTCTTCAAGGTGTTTGTATGTGATCCTAATGTAACACTGATTATCATGAAGTTGTGATCTATCTCTCTCTCTCTCTCTCTCTCTCTCTGTGACTTCACAGTAGCCAATGGAAGCAGTGAATGTGTGACTGACTGAATGACGGGTCTGCTGCTTATATTTCAGATCATAAATTATTGCAACGCCTAAGAAAGGTAGTAAAAAAGAAATAAACTAAAGCGTCATCATTTCACAATAATACAGCGTACGTCAGGCTCGAGAGAGAGAGAGAGAGAGAGAGAGAGAGAGAGAGAGAGAGAGAGAGAGAGAGAGAGGGAGAAAGAGAGAGAGAGAGAGAGAGAGAGAGAGAGAGAGAGAGAGAGAGAGAGAGAGAGGAAGAAGAAGAAGAAGAAGAATAGAAGTCTTAATTAAACTCGAATATACATACTTGTAAATGGCTCTTAACATGGGCTAGTGTTAGATCCTTCACATCCATGAGCTCAAGAACAGACTTTGGTGTAGCCCCTATCCAATATCAAAAACGAAAAAAAAAGTATTATTATTATTATTATTATTCTAAACCCCCAAAAAATAATCCTAAAAGAAAAACCAATATCCTAAAACAAGCATCAAATCTCATTAAATCAAATAAAAAGTAGAAGCAAAAAACTAATGTAAAACGTACTCTCATGACCACCAAGAAGCTCAACAGCATGAACAAATCTAGCATGAAGGCTACTAGTCCATCTCATCCTCGGAGCTCTCATACTCCTCTTCACCGGCATCTTTGACAAAAACCTCCCCCTCATCATCATCCCATTTCCCATCTCCATCCCATGATGAAACTGATTATGATGATGGTGGTGGACTGATCTCACCATCGAATCATTAATCGCCGGAAATGAATTAAACCTACTCAAAGGATTCGTCGCTATCCGATGATATGGCGCCAAGATCTCAGCATTAACAGCACCAGGGTTCAAGAAGTTAGGGTTAGTGGAGGGACTATGATGGTAGGGTTGAAGGAAAGGGAAATGAGTGGAGCCATTGTTGTAGATTGGGATCCCTTTGATAGGTCTCGATGAGGCATCGGGTGATGGTGACGAATCGAGGAAATTAGGTCGACGATGATGTGCTGTTGTTGAAGAAGGAGAAGGGCTTGAAAGAGAGAGATCAGTGTTTGGGGGGCTTATGTGTAAAGATAAATCAGGGGATGGTGGCGGCATCGAGGGTGTTTCTATAGAGACACCTTCAAATGCCATTCGTGTTTTGCTATCTGTATTTTGCTTCTTTGTGGTTGGATGTAAGTGATTGAATTGAAGAGAGAGACAGAGAGAGAGAAAAAGAGGAGTTTTGATGCAATCAAAACAATCGAGGAGAGAGAGTGAGAGAGCTACACTTTTTGGTAGTATGATCAAGTTGTCTTCTACTCTTTCCTCTCAACATTTATATATTGTGTGTATTGTTTGAAGAAAGGTATCCAGCAAGAACAGTGAGATTGAGCTAGAGAGAGAGAGAGAGAGAGGGAGGGGGGGGGGGGGGGACCATTGTGAAAGGTTATATAGTGGATGGGGAACAAAGAAGAGAGAAGGAAAGGCATTAGCTAGTGGCAATGGGGTCTGTTTTTTTTTCTCTCTTTGATAGAGTATATGTGAGACAATGAATAGAAGAAATCGTGATCACTGTAGTGGTCAAATATTAACTTGAAGAGGGTGGATAGGAAAGGGATGGAGAGATTTGTTGAAGGATCCAGAAGATGGGTGGGGGGGGGGGGGGGGGGCACTTAAAGGAATGTATGCCTGTGCGGAGGATCCCCCCCCCCCCCCCTCCCTCTAGATCTCTCTCTTTCTCTCTCTCTAAAAGCAGGAAAAAAATCTATTCTCCCATAAATTAATTAATATGTTAAAGTAGTTGGCTGTCAAAGTTCTGGGTTTCTTTCCTTTCATCTTCATTAGCTTTTGATGTAATATTTCAGACATAAAACTTAATTAATTTGTAAAAGAACCGTAAAATTATTGCCAAAGAGGTCCAAATCAGGACATCTTTCCTATTTATGGCATGTTTAGCCACCTCCAAAATTGGGGCCAGGTTTGAATATGATCACATTTTAAGAAGAATTTTGTTTAGATAAAACTGAGCCAAAATTGATTGTCAAACAAGCCCTATATCCACTACTAGATATCAAATTCACTTACTTTTCATGTGAGAATAAAGTTTTTATCATCGTGAGTCATATTTACCTGGAGAATGCATATAGTCTTGGCCCATGTTTGACAAGATTGTCAAACAAGCCCTATATCCACTACTAGATATCAAATTCACTTACTTTTCATGTGAGAATAAAGTTTTTTATCATCGTGAGTCATATTTACATGGAGAATGCATATTTATTGGGGCCAAGATTTAGGCGCTTACAGATTGCACTCGGAATATATGGTGAGGATAATTTTGTGTTGTCGGTCTTATGGACAGAAACCTTATTCAATTAATAAGTATCCTTAGTGGCTTTATTATTTTTTGTAACAAGAATAAAAAAATAGAGACACCAAGGAGATAAAATTAGAGTTTTAAAAATCGGTAATCGTTCATTGATTGAAAAGGAACTATGATCTAGTTGTGCTTTGAGAACATAGGTAATCACAATGATTGTCGAATCTCGTTAAATCTCTACGCTTCTATGATTATTCTCTGATTTCATTCTTTTAATATTATTATTGATTTGTGGTTAAATTTTAGCTTCTGTTGCTAACAAGTTTCACATTATTTCCTTTTCTTTTCCAAATTTATTAATTTTCCATTGCAAGATTATCTTTTAAATTCAACATGGTACTGTAACAATTTGTAGAGTTGGAGTTTATTTGATCGAAACAATCTCTTTTGCGTCTTACTAAGTTGTTGGGGATTCGAAAGAATCAAATCGAACCCTTACCCTTCCGAACCTTGTGTTTAAGAGTAGGAAAGTAGGAAAAATCACAACAAATAAAAGATAAAAAATTTGCAGGAAAGTAAACAAGAAAGAACACACCAGATTTAACGAGGTTTGACAATCGTGCCTACATCCTCGGGAGCCACACCACACAATTCTTTGATTAATATTGAAGAAGATTACAATGCCCGCAAATAGGATCTAATCTCTCTGAAATCTCTCTAAAGAATTCTCTCAAAATCCTCTTTTTATGATGTCTAATCTCTTCTAAGGTGTTTCATATATATAGAAAACCTAAAACTAAAACAGACTAGGAATTCTAAAACCAAAAAACAAAACAGATTAGAAATCCTAATATCCTATTATCAAAACAGATTAAGAATCATGTTACCAAAACAGATTAGAAAACCTACTATCAAACAATTTGTTTGATTCCATCTTTGAGTCTACATCCCTTAGACTAACAATCTCCCATTTGGAGACCAAAGCACAATCAACGAGCTCGCCCGAACTCTCCCTTCTTTGCAAGCATCCTTCTACACAGAAAAAAATTCATTCTTCAATCATCATCAACCCGACGATCCTCCTGATGTGGCTCCGCCTTCATCTCCTACACGTCCTCCGTAGGATTTTGACTCCCTAAAACTTTTTCTAGATGTAATTTCCCTTCCTCAATTAACAGGCATATAAAATGGTATTGTACGTCGATGTGCTTCTTTCTGACATGATATACTGGATTCTTGGTAAGATATATAGCGCTCTGGCTGTCACAATAAAGAACTTCTTTTTCTTGCTTCGGATCCAACTCTTCCAGACACCCGTTCAACCAAATCATCTTATTTCTTGCTTCAGTCACCGTGACATACTCAGATTCAATTGTAAACAAAGTTATAATCTTTTGTAGACGTGAAACCTAACTCATTGTTATCGATGCCAAGGTATAAACATATCCCGTGGTGCTTCGCCTCGTATCATGATCACCGGCGAAGTCCACATCCACGTATCCCTGCAGTACCAACTCCTTCCTCTTGAAACATAGTGGCTTATCCGTAGTCTCTCTCAAGTAGCGTAATATCCACTTCACGGCCTCTCAATACTGCTTTACTAGATTTCTTACAAACCTGCTCACAACTCCCACTACATGGGTAATGTTCGGTCTCGTGCAAACCATTGCGTACATGAGAGCCGAAGAATATGGCACCCTACTCATATGCTCTCTATCTGTATCTGTCTTACGCGATTGCTCTTCAGATAGCTTGAATTGGCTTCTAAGGGGCGTGCAAACAACCTTAGCGTTCTATATGTTGAACCTCAGTAGTACCTTCTTGATGTATTCAGCTTGACTCGATCTCAACGTCCCTTCAGCTTTATCTCTACTGATTCGCATCCCTAGAATATGCTTCGCTGTACCTAGATCCTTCATAGCAAACTCCTTTGCCAACTGCTTCTTTAAGTTGTTTATCTCCTCTAAACTCGATCATGCAACAAACATATCATCAACATATAATAACAATATGATAAAACTGGATTTGAACCTCTTGAAGTAGCAACAATGATCTGAATTACATATTCTGTAGTCATTGTTCTGCATGAAGTTGTCAAACTTCTTGTATCACTGTCTCGGGGCCTGTTTCAATCTGTAGAAACTCTTCTTGAGCTTACACATCATCTCTTTCTTTCCTTCTTCAATAAAACCAACATGTTGCTTCATGTAGATTTCTTCATCCAAGTCACCATGAAGAAATGCAGTCTTCACATCTAATACTCAAGATAGAGATCTTCTGTAGCTACTAAGGTCAACACAACTCTGATGGTGGTGAACTTCATAGCGGGGGAAAATATCTCCGTATAGTCAACTCCTTCACGTTGTTGGAACCCCTTCACGACTAATCTGGCCTAGTATCTCTTGCTTTCATTACTTTCCTGCTTGACCCGATAGACCCATTTGTTATACAAGTCTTTCTTCTTTGCAGGTAGCTAGACTAACTCTCATGTCTCATTAGTATGTAGAGAATCCATCTCCTCTTACATTGCATGCTCCCACTGCTGAGATTCACTCACTTACATAACCTTCTCATAGCACTTCAGTTCTGCACTATCTGTCAAAAGCAAATAATCGAGTGATGAGAGATATCTGGGATTTGATTTGGGTATCATGTATGACCTCCTAAGCTCCATGTCCTGGGTAGTTGTCTCTACACCTGGAGCCTCCTTCATTCTTCGGTCAGAATTGACTTTGTCGCCCCCATCTAGAAGTTCCTCCAAATCTATATACTCGGATCCATCTATATCTGTAGTACTGCTCCCACTGATTTGGCTATCATTGGTACTATCTCTATTCTTGTACATCACTTCCTCATTGAATATCACATCCATGCTTCTGATGATCTTCTTGTTCTTCTCATCCCAAAGACGATACCTAAACTCATCAATATCGTATCCAATGAATGTGCACTTCTGTGACTTAGCTTCTAGCTTGTCCCTGACATGGTCACTGATATGAACATATTCTACACAACCAAATACTCGTAAATATGAGAGATTGATCTTCTTGTCACTCCAAACATCCTTTAGAATCCCGTAAACCAATAGAACTGATGACCCATGATTAATCAAGTAAGCTGTTGTATGTATCGTATCTGCTCAAAATATCTTAGACATACCTGCATGTAATCGCATGCTCCTGGCACGCTCTGTCAATGTCCTGTTCATTCTCTCTACAACACCATTTTGTTGTGGCGTCCCTGGAATAGTCCTCTCCAAACGGATCCCATTTAGAGCACAGAACCTCTTGAACTCCTCTAGCTCGTATTCTCCACCGTTGTCTGATCTCAGACACTTCACCTTAAAATCTGTCTTGTTCTTCACCATGGCCTTTCACTTCTTGAAGATCCCAAACACCTTTGACTTGTGCTTCATGAAGTATACCTACACATTCCTTGAGTGATCATCGATGAATGTGACATAGTATGCCGAACCACCAAGAGAAGACATGTTAGCTGGACCCCACACGTCAGTATGAACTAACTTTAGGCTTTAGGTAGCCTTTCACCGTTCTGGAAACTAACTCACTTCTGCTTCTCAAAGATGCAGTCCTCGTAAACACCAACTTTTATGGAATCGATGCCGGTTAGCTTCCCCTATAAATGTATAATCTTCATCCCCTTCTCACCCATGTGTCTCAATCTATTGTGCCACAGATCCGTACTCTCTTTGCCAGCTACAATTGCAAGGGTGTCACTCACATGTGAGGTGAGCTAGAGAGTTCCTATTTAGTTACCTCGGGAAACAACTATAGTACCGTTTGAGATCCTCCACGAATCTCTGGTGAATGTCGACTCTGGTGAATGTCGAAACATACCCTTCTGCTCCAGCTGGCCAACCGAAATAAGATTCCTCTTCAGCTTTGATACGTGCCTCGCATTCTTCAGATTCTACTTGGAGCCCTTCAATTGTATTTGCACATCTCATCTTCCAACAACACTACATAATTCCCCCAAGTATACTTTCTCAAAGTCCCCTGCTACATAGTTATGAAGAAGCTTCCTATTAGCAGTGGCGTAGAACGAGGCTCCTAATTTGATGACCCAGGAATCAGAATCGTTATCTATAGCTAGGATCAAGGTATCCTGCACGATATGAGCCTTTTGCTCATTCGCATCCTTCTTTTGTGCTTTACAAGCTGAAGTCATATGACCCTCCTGACCACAATTCCAACACTTCCCTTTGATAGGCCTAACTTTCGAGTTTAACCTCTTCTTGTTTGACTTCGACCGATTCCTGTTCTGATTCCCCTTCTTATGGCTTCTACC